ATACCAAATTCGTGTTCAGCATCAAAAACTGAGTCGAATAGGCTATACTAGAATTTTTCAGAGGGTCTTATGGGTCGCTTTACTGCGGATGTTTGTCCTGACGGCAAAGCTGGACCATATAGTCGACACGCGAGAGATTTTTTTAAGACATACAATGGGGAAGATTTCTTTAAAAATGATTTTTACATGCAAAAATAAATAATGTCAAGAATTGAAAGACAATCATCTACATTGCTGCACACGAAATTTAGAAAAGCAAAAACTCTAGACTAGCTAAAAGGGCAAAGTACATGCTATATGACCATTGTCAATGGTGACATAAATGTTACCTAACTCTTTTTTTAGGCTTCGTGGGTAAAAAGAACTATATCGTGTTTTCAAATATACAATTGGGATTATCTCATTATTTTCATACAAGTATGTCTGAAACTGATTGAATAAACTTTGCTAATTTATATTAATATCATTTGTTATCATATTCAAATTTGTTTCAATTGCTTTAATATAATCGTCCAATATTTCACAATGTTTTAAAACATTTGATGTATCATGGAGGCATAATTCAATTTGTTTATTTTTGTTTCTAATACTTCAGCTAAATGATAAAATTCAATTGTTATTTCTCTAACGTTTAACATGTAATGTATTACATAACAAATTCAGATGAATTTAAATGTTTTAATAAATCGTGCTGAAATATTAAACGTTTATCTAATTCATTTATTTCTCTTAAACGATTTTCTGTAGACTCTTTATCATCATTTTGTTTTAATTGATTTTGAATTGTTTAAATTTTATCCGCTATTTTACATAAATTAGCAGCAAATATTTCTTTATGCTGTTTAATATAATTAAAATCTGTGAATAAAATTTACCATGAGATATTTCTAATCCATCATATTGATTTTTAATGATGATATATTAGTGAGTATCAATGTTTTTAGACGCAATTTGTAGTACATATTGACATAAATTTTGTGAACGTTCATGTAATTGTAGCACATCAAAATCAAGCTGTTATAAACATAATTGAAAATCCTATAATAAAATTGAGAGAGATAATAATATTTGATTTAGAAAATAGTTTCTTCTTACTTTTGCTTTATTCAATAAGATTTCAGTTGTGGATGTAAATTTTTCTCGTTGAATCGAATACCATTTTGCTTCTAATTCGCCCAGACGATCAAGTAAATTAACATATGACGAATTAAATTTTCTCCATTCATCCACAATATCTTTCGATGGTTTCGTTAATTGTTCTAATTTTATTTCAATATCTTTCCATTTTTGATTAATACGATATATTATATCATTTATTTTCACTTTGTTGCTTTATTTCATCTAAACCATTTTATGGTCATGACATTAATTGTAAATTTTTCTAAATAACCAACTACCATTTACAAAGTCTATATACTCATATTTAGAACACAAATAAATAGTGTACCTGTGCTTTTTTTTCTCATATTTTAATTTGGAATCTGAACACGACTTGATCAATGTTTGTAAAACGTTCTTTTCGTTTTTCTGCGTGCTGTCTTAACTGATCCAATGCAGTCTGAAATATATGTTTAATTATGAGTAATTAACACTATAACGTTTTGGATAGATAAAAATATTACCTCAATTTTATTAATCTCTGATTGTGTTTGTTGTCGTTCTTGAACACTTAAATGGGACGCAATTGTCCGTAATTTTGTTGCAAATGTATTTAAATAATTTTCTTCAACTTGAATTTCTCGACTAAGTATCGAAACAGATTTTTAATTTTTTTTACGTTTGCAACCATTGAACATAAATCATATTTCCATAATTAATTACAAGGTCAATGGCAATAATTATAATCGTTTTTTACTCTAGGAATTGGGTTTTTTCTTTTTACCCTGTCTCACAGCCATAGTTCGAGGCCAGGTTAAGCTTTTAGTAAAATCAACAATTTAAAAACGCACAAGACGCACAAGATACAAACTTTGTCACAGACGCTTCTCTATCAACGCTTCGTCTGATCAATATAATTCCTTGAAACTTTATGTTTGTTATAGTATGTAGATGTTCCCTTTCTGTAGACAATTTTTTTCCGAGCGATAGTTAGGGAGTTATATCGTAAATATTGCTTTTTTCCAGCATACTTATTATACTTACCCTAGCTGATAGCCTCCGATTTCGGTGATCTTTTGCCGATAGATACTATATGATATCCTAGTCTTAACATCCAAAGGATTTGGTTATATAGCTCTTAATTCAAAAGTTATGAATTTTTTAAGATTGGCCACTGGAGATTGTAATTCATCATTGTTTACTTTCTGAATCTTGTCCACATGTGTGCTGGCCAGCCAAAATTTTTTTAAACACCTATTCATATAGAGAAAAGTGTTTTCTTCAAAATGAGACACGTTGCTGAGCTCTGTGCGATATCCTGAGCAAAAGTCATAAGCATTTTTCTAAGAGTACCTAAAACTCTGCCTTTTCTTTCATTCCTCTAAAGTGTTTTCCAAGATTTTTTAATATACTTCAAGCTGGAGAGTTCGGGTTTGCTTTGTTTTAAACTAGACACCTAACTACATCGTCTGACCGGCGCCGATTTTTCAATTAAGCCTTTATTGGTTTTCCAGGCAACCAACAACCTTCAAAATCCTTCCGGATTTTCTAAAAATCATTAATTTGATAAAAAACTAAGACCTAATTCAAAAATCGGCGCCGGTCAGACGATGTAGTTTCTTCTCCTCTTTGAAACAAAAAAAGAATGAACTCTCTATGACAAACCGCTATAAAAAATCTTGGAAAATACTTCAGGTGTAACTCTTATAGAGAGAAAACGCTGTATTAAACGCTGCATGAAATATTCAATTTTAGAACTTCTAGGAAAATGCCTGTAACTTTTTGATGCAGAGTCATACAGAGTTGTGCGAGGTCCTATTTTGATCAGAAACGTTTGCTCTACAAATCTGTGTGTTTAGAAAAAGTTTAATTGCATTAGTATCCAGGAAAAAGCTGTTATTTGAAGATTCAGTTTTTCGAGGCCCCTAGAAAACTTGCTCAAAATCTGGGAAAAAACACTTTTGTAACCAAAAGCGATACAGATTCTGAAAGGAGACACTGCAGGCTATCTTCCCATGTGCTTATCTCAAAACCGATATTTTGACCGAAAATCACCATTTCTGGAGGGGGGGCCCTTAAATAATTAGCTACCATTTCTATAGTTAGAATTACTGTCCAAGAATTTAACACTTTACGATACTCGTGAAGATAATGGAAAAGGAAAGTTGAAGTGACTATTCTACTAGGAACTTATATTTTATTGATCTCCTAATGATTCATGTCAGCTAAAGTTTTGATATGTAGCTGTTTGGTATTAATCACTTGCTACAAAAACTCTTCTGTCCAAATTTCCTATTTGAATTAGATACGTGATTTTTCTAGATAATAATGTTTGATCTTACAAATCTTTCACGACGACAAGTACGTTTGTGCATTATTTCTGTAAGTAAATATGTTTTCTATCATAAATACTGACAGAAAGAATTAGCATGAACTGAAGTCTTTTCTTTGCGGTCGATTATGAAATTTAAGAGCCAGTATGCGTAAATATTACTCGTATATGCCCACCTCCGTGAAGTTTGATCCAATTCCAATCTGTCTAATTTAGTGGACTGTACGTTCAAAAAAAATGCGACTTCAGCGATGTGTCTGCCGAGAAAAAGTGTCTTGTATGTGACTAGATTGCGACTTCAAAATAGTAGGTGTCTTCTATATGTCTTCAATGTGTCTACTGGTAGGCATATAGAAGTCAGATTGGAGTCGCATAGAAGATAATAAATTGAACGATATAATAGTAATAATGGATAGTTTTTGATTGTCTCCACATCGGAAAACCAAAAGGTTAATCCTGTTTTGTCAAATCAGTCAACTAATGTAATTGATAGACCGAATTAACTGCTTATGATGAACGTATTGTATAAGTATTTTCAAAATTTAATAGTGAATAATTTTCTTTTTTCGCTACATAATCTTTTGTATTGTTCTGTAAATATTGAATACAGGTGTAACGATTAAGATCCAGTATCAATGTTGAAAATACTATATTGTCCAACCAACAGAGACACGGATTCTTAATTGTTACACTACATTGAACGAAAAGGACAAACATTCACGAAGAAATTTTTCAGCATTTATCGATTGATGAGAACTGAGACCACCATGTACAATATCAGCATTCAACAAAATTGGTCCATATAGCTAAAATTAGAAGACAATATTTTTATATATCAAGAAAATCAACAATAAATAAACGAAATATTACCTGTTCTTTTTGCAATTCAGGTTCATTCAGACACAGTTATACAACATCAACGTCTTTGAAATCTAATTTTAATCCCCTTTCACTGGATTTTGCCAACTGAAGAAACCATAGCAAAGTCCAAATCGTCAGATGTATTGATGGGAGGATGTGCCATAATTGCTGAATTCTCTGATGTCGGAGATTGTTCAATTAATACATCAGCTTTAATAAACATTATCTAATCTTGAACAGGAAAGATAGTAAATAATGTCATACTAAAACGGTATTTGTTAATTAAAAATATCTTACTTTTCAAAACAATTCCCAGTTCCTTGTGAGCATTAACAACGTGAGCCCATGGAATTTTTGATGCATCATTTTCAACACTTTGAAAATCATCAAGAATACTATAATAATACTATACTATATATAATAAGAGAAAAGTATTGGGGGGGGGGGGGGGGGGGGGGGGGGGGGGGGGGGGGGGGGGGGGGGGGGGGGGGGGGGGGGGGGGGGGGGGGGGGGGGGGGNCGACATCAGAGAATTCAGCAATTATGGCACATCCTCCCAAAAAAAATACAACTTCTAAGAAGACACATAAGTCGAATCCCAAAAAGCCGCATTTTAGTGTCTCCTTTCCTGAAAATTTCCTTGAGTCAGCATGAGATTTGATCGAGATATAAGGATTTTAATTTTTGCTAGTAACAGGCGAAAAACCGGTTTTTCACAACAATGCCTCTGGTGAAATTATATTCATTTCTACACGAAAACAAATGTTGCTCCTATGCTCAGCGTAGTCGATTATCTATAGTCCATGGCATTTTGAGATTCACAGAGATGTCTGCTCGGAGATAGACACGTGCTCGGAGAAAGCGAGCCCTGCCCGAACGACGATAGCTAGAGAGCCGGGACTTGCATAATTTTGTAGAGTAACGTCCGAACTATCTACGCATGCAAAAAAATTACTAACATTGTATGTTAGTTTTCTGAGAACGGAGCTGGTTTTCCAAAGATCCTCTGAAAATCCGATCTCCGGAATTTTTTCAAAAGTTGCTTCCGCTTGTGAAAAGTTCTGCTCGAGCCTATTGAATAGCGAAAATCGCAGGTCTCTATCTCATTCCTATCAAAAGTTATTCAAAAAATGCTCACGGGTCTTGTATTTTGGGATGGATAGTAATAACTAATGTATCTGTGTGGTAAGAAGACATTCGTCCCGTAAGCCGAATGGACCGAGTTCAACTCAAGACAGAAAAGAAAATTGTTTTGATGTGTCTTCTTCAGAAGACACATCAAAAAATAAAGCGACTTCAAAAGAGTCGCTAAAATACGACTAAATGGGATCCGACTTACGTGTCTTTAATGCGACTAGAGCAAAGACGCTATAA